AAACACCCCTAGCTGAGGCGGAGAAAATCAGATGAGGGCTGATTGGCTAGGGTATAGATGGTGGTTGTGGTGGTAAATTGGCCCGGGAGGAAATTTTGAGAATCAATTGCAAAAGGGGAGACCCATAAATAACTAATGTCGAATCTCTAAGTATGTGATGCATCATCAATATGTGTTTTTATTAATCAAGTAAAGCTATTAAGAGGAGAAAAACAGAAGTTGGACAATCGACTATAAAATCTAGAACAGTCAGAGTATTTTTTTTGTTAACTGGACTAGTATATATAGCATTACAAACTAAAGTAAAACATTAGCATTGTTTTTAGGGGATATGAAATCTCCCCTGTGATGTGATCAAGAGAGTTAATATTACAGTCCAAATTTTTTCTAGAAAAAATAGTTTATGAGATGTCTGCCCAAAAAGCTTGATTTACAAACACCAGACGAACTGTCACATATCTTGTGCTACCAAAAAAATCTTTGCTTGCATCCTCCTTTGCCATCAGTCAGCTACTTTGTTTGTCTCCCTGTAGCTGTACTTCATCGTCTCCTAGTCTTAGAATGATTGATCTGCATTCAAAAATGATTGAGTCAAATACATAAATACCCGAGTTAAGCATTCTTATTACCTCAGTTGAGTCTGTATTGATTTCAAGTGCTATGAGTCCTCTTTGATCAGCAATCTGCAATACCTTTAGAACGTCAAGGAGAACAGATAGAGTTGTCAAAGTAAGTATGAAGTCTCTAAATTTTAAATTGTAAAAATTGTTAATTGTCTATTTGGATAGTTGGTACACATTGTTTCAGAATATATAGTTTTGTATCGTTTCATGAATATAATATTTGGATAGATTGTATCGCTTGCCGTTGTTTTATAATATCACGCACCAGCTATATGAATAATAATCTTGCAATATTATAAAGAAAAAATGATGCGGGGTAAAATTATTATAAAAAGGTAAGGTAAATGATAAAATAAAATTATTTATTAATAATGAAGGGCGAGATGTGAGAAAAAAATAAGGTAATGACGCGACCACACTAAATCGGTCGTTACATAAAGTGGCACATTCATCATTATGTAACGATAGTTTTAACGATAGGATACAATAAAATTTAAGTAACAAATTAAATAAATATCGTATTTAAAGTAACAATACGATACAGGACTACACGTAACAACCGTTCAAACAAGCCGTAAAAGTGAGATAACGTCAAAAAAATAAATTAAAACCATCTTTAAGCAATTCATTACAGTATAAAATAAGTAAAATGAAAGTTATGACTTATGAAGACCAGAGTTCGTGTTGTTATAGGCATTATATAGGTTGCCGCCGCTACACTTTCTGCAAAGAAAAATTCTCGCAGCTGAAAGAGCAGAATGCAAGTGTTATGAAAACCAGAAATCGGCGCAGGCGGTAAAGCTTTCTTCTGTCTTTGCTATTGAATATCAATGCTAAGAATGCAACAATGAGACGCAAAAATCAGACCCGGAAAACTCCCTCAACTCATGGCAGCTATGTTACCCAAAAAGCTTACCCCAAAATCCCTCTTAAAACTCCTTAAATCTTCAAAAAACCTCAACACATCACTCTCCTTATTCGACATAGCTTCACAACATCCAAATTACACTCACGACGCCATTATTTATCACCATATTCTCCGCAAACTTTCCCTTTCTTCCGATTCAAGATGCATCCCTCATATGACCCGAATCGTCGATATGATTCAAACCCAGAAATGCTTATGCTCTGAGGATGTAGCATTAGCTGTTATTAAAGGGTATGCTAAAAATTTAATGATTGATAAAGCTATGGAAATTTTTCAGAACATGAAGAAAATTTTTGGCTGTGAACCTGGGATTAGGTCTTATAATACATTGCTTAATGCTTTTGTTGTTTCTAATCAGTTGAGTAGAGCTGATTTGTTTTATAAGTACTTTGGAACGATGAGGGTTTCGCCGAATTTGGAAACTTACAATGTTTTGATTAAAATTGCTTGTAAAAGGAGGCAATTTGATAAGGTGAAAGAGTTGTTGGATTGGATGTGGGACAGTAATTTGAAGCCTGATGTTTATAGTTATGGAACTTTGATCAATGGGCTGGTGAAGAGTGGATGTTTGGATAATGCTTTGAAGGTGTTTGATGAAATGTTTGAAAGAGGGTTGCATCCGGATGTTATATGTTATAACATTTTAATTGATGGGTTTTTGAAGAATGGTGATTATGATAGTGGTATGAAGATTTGGGGGAGGTTAATGAGTGGGTCGAATGTTTACCCGAACGTGGTTAGCTATAATGTGATGATTAATGGTGTATGTAGGTGTGGTAAGTTTAATGAGGGATTGGAACTTTGGGGTAGGATGAAGAAAAATGAGCAAAGAATGGATTTGTTCACGTGTAGTACGTTGATTCATGGTTTGTGTGAATTGGGCAATGTTGATGGGGCTGAGAGGATTTTTAAGGAAATGATTGAGAATGGGCTATCGCCTGATGTAGTGGTATATGGTGCATTGCTTAATGGTTATTGTAAGGTTGGGGAGATTAAAAAGTGTTTTGAGTTGTGGGAGCTGATGGGGAAGGAAGATTGCCGTACCGTCACTAGTTATAATATATTGATGAGAGGTTTGTTTGAGAATCGAATGGTGGATGAAGCGATTTCTATTTGGAAGCTTATGAATGAGAATGGTATTGTTGCCGATTCATCATCTTACGGAATTCTAATTCATGGGTTGTGTAAGAATGGGTATCTGAACAAGGCTTTGAAGGTCTTGCAAGCTGAAAGTGAAGGAGAAAAGAGCATGGATTCATATGCATACTCATCAATCATTAAGGGGTTGTGCAAAGAAGGAAGATTGGATGAAGCAACTGCTATGTTTGATTTGATGGCTAAACAGGGATGTAAACTAAGTTCTCATGTTTGCAATGCGCTTATCAATGGATTTATTAAAGCATCTAAAATTGAGGATGCACTCAGATTTTTTGGTGAAATGAGCAGTATGAATTGTTCGCCAACGGTAGTCTCCTATAACATGCTGATAGATGGGTTATGCAAAGCTGAAAGATTTGGTGACGCCTATAAGCTTGTGGAGGACATGCTGCAAAAAGGGTGGACTCCAGACATGATAACGTATAGCTTGTTGATGGATGGCCTTTGCCAGAGCAAAAAGTTAGACCTGGCCCTGAAGTTATTGAGTCAAGTTGTTAGCAAGGGATTCAAGCCCGATGTGACCATGGTTAACATTATAATTCACGGCCTTTGCTCTGCTGGTAACCTTGAGAACGCGTCGCAGCTCTTTTTGAACATGAGCCAATGGGAATGTCTCCCGAATCTTGTCACATATAACACCCTTATGGAGGGATTTTATAAAGCTAGAGACTGCAAAAATGCTTCAGCAGTTTGGGCTCTCATTTTAAGAGGCGGGCTTCGGCCAGATATTATTTCTTATAATATTACTCTTAAGGGGCTTTGTTCTTGCCATAGAATGTCAGATGCCATTTTATTCTTGAATGATGCCCTTAGTAGGAAAATCCGTCCAACTGCGATTACATGGAATATACTTGTCAGAGCAGTTATTTATGGCTGAACTCTTAACACAATACTTATGAAGTACGCACCTGGTGGGTGTCAGATGCCAATTTCTACTTGATTGATGCCCTGAGTAGGCAGTTCACCTGCGATCAGTTAAATACACTTATCTGGTCTCGAAGTTTAATGATTTCAATCACGCACTTTAAGTTATCAGGTCCTAATCTCATTTCTGTTGCTCTTCAGTAACCTAGATTTGCATTTCCACATATGAAATCTCACTATGTACTAAGAGAAGCTTATCTTCATGGTTGCAGGGTTGCGATTATTAACCACTATCAAGCAAGTTTGTCTGACTTGTATACGGTAATCCTTTTTTTTAAGCTGTAAGTAAGCTCTCTACTCACTTCAGGTGATTAGATGATTTTGCGAAATGGGATATTCAATCAGAAGCGCAATGCTCTGCTAATCAAGCATGCGTTTCTGTTGTGTGCTTTTTTTTATAGAAGCGATTTAAGATTCTGTGGTTGATACAGGTTGAATGCATTCCTTGCAATTGAGATGTGGTTGAAAATTTCTCTGAGATACTGGATTTTGATAGAATTATGCCGCCAACTCAATTTTGATAAGCTTTATCATGCTTTTGTTTAGTAATGTCTACTAAACTATATTCCATTTAACTTTCTGGTCCAGAAATTGAGGGAACAGTAAAGGCAACAGAGATGCTCGTGCAACAAAATCGGGCTATTTATTGGGATGAAATATTCTTAAGGTTAAGGTATTGCTGTGCTTGGATTTCTTTTACTAACTACGGATTTGGGTAAAACAAAAAATATCATCAAAAGAATTGATTGTGTACGGCAGAATTGAGCCCTTTGCCTGGCGTGATTGGGGAGGGGATGTTTCTTTATGATTGTCATAGTTCATAAAAACATATGTACTCTCCATTTTGAAGATGTTTCCCTTGATTGTGCTACCCTAGATGTTTCATGCAAGTAGGAATCTTTGATCAGTTGGACTTCGCAGTTTTTATTTTAGACCTTGAGGATTTCATGAGGGGAAATTGTGCTTGCACTCTCCATCTCACCCAATATGTATGAATTGCCTGCTTGTCCAACGAGGATCAGTACTAACCTAAAACGTTTAGTTGCTACTGGTTTGTATCTTTGTAAAGAAGCTAACAACTTTTCAAATTAGAGAGCATGTGAAAGACTTAAATGGTTAAGTTAGGAAGAAAATATTATTGGACTCAGATCAAAGTTGCTATCAGATTGTAAAACAAAAGGATAATACTTGGCATCACTGGATCCACCATTCCACATAGCCATATTATTGCTTGGGTAATAGAATTCCCAATCCTTTAAGGGATTAGTGAATCAAGAAAATATTGATCACTGCTTCTGCTTTGTGCTGGAGATATGCTGTTGATATTCATATTCAGATTTCAAAGTTGTCAGACTTCTATCATCACCTTTAGAAAGTAAAAGTTGACATGTCTTATTTTGTTGATCAATATAAAGCATCTTACACGAATCCAACTTTGGTGGTTACAGTTGCCATGAAACTTGGATATGCTGATGCAAGAGAAAAGTTGGCATGATATATCAGCCTCTAATAATAACATTTTATTTCGAGGTTATAACTCATGCTACATTAATAGCTAAAATTTTGCTCCTGTACAATCAGTGGAGGATTTCACTTTTTCTCTTCTTCAGATGTCTGCTTTTGCTTTGTTTCTGTTTCTGATAACACACTCTGCTCGTAGATGACTTGAGAAAGCAAACCCACCAAGATCGCTCCAAGAACTGCACTCTTTGTCCAGTCAGAAGGTGAAGAGATTAATGCATTCGTAATCCCAACTACTACAAGACCGATAAGTGCAAGGTAGATATTCCTTCTAGTCTTTGACTCGGCATTTTCTTTACTGAGTTGCTTAATCTTATCCGTTTCCTCCTTAGCTTTTGCTTTATCCACTGATTGTTTTTGCCCTAAGTTCTTGAAGAAAAGCCCTTCATTTCTCTCTTCCTCCATTTGGCCCTCAAAGTCCGCCAACTTCTTCTCGTTCTCCTCGATCTCCTGTTTGTTTAACTCTGTTGATTCTTCGAAGGCTTGCATCCGGCTCTCTATATTTTCCATTATCTGTTCCACAAAGAAAGAAAAAAGAACAAATCAAGAACTGTGTAATTGAGAGATGAAAAATAAACTCCAAGTTCTGTATGATTTGGTTATGTAGTTGAGTACAGACCCTTGAACCAGCTTCATCAAGCTCTTTGAGGGCATTTTCACCAATCTGGTCAATCTCAGCATTGGCATCTTCAGCAAACTGGGACAGATAAGCAGATCTTTCGTCTAAGTAGTCGGTAAGACGAACTTTCTGAGTTTGAAGCTGGGCAATCCTCGCAAGCAGTTCCTGCTGACGGCTGTCTCCTTGAGGCGGAGGTGGAGGAGCGTCTGAATCTGAATCATTCCGTTTGCAGAGGCAGAGAATGGGGTGTTTTTTCCTTTGGAAGTGGCTATTTCTGTTTAAAAAAGCATGTTGCTTTAGTGTCAAAGAGGAGTGAATATCTTTTAGATGAATCATTCTTTGAATTTTCGCTCCAGTTTGTTGGGAGACTAACCTGTGATAACTAGTGAGTGTAACTATGAGAAGGGGTGGAATGGAAGTGTTTGTGAACCTCTGATTGAATGCACCTTATCCATTTTATTTGCAGATATTTAGAAACAAAAAAGCGAATGGGTCATTATCTATTAGTCGTTGTGGGCCACCGAGGGGAGTTTACACCTTACACTTTGTGTGTCTCGTCTTACTACCTTCCTGTTGGAATTGATCGTTGGATATAAATATTAATTTATGATCCTATTATTATATAAGTACTAGTATAGTACCCGCGCGGATGCGCGAACACTAATCATGTCAAATATTTAAGTTATTTGGATTGTATGTAAATAATTTTAAAATTTATACTTTCTTAGTAAATAAAGATAATCATTAGATATTAACTACATGAAAAAAATTAACAATTTCTTCTATTTTTCTTTTTTGATACCATTCTTGCCGGTGTCATTGGATCCTAAAAATAGCCAGGAAGCAAAATAATAACTCATATTTATAGCAATACAATTAAATGTTGAAGACAATGAATCACACTTTGGATAAGACTTAACTCCTTTACTACTACTTGAACTCTTATTTGGTTTGTTAATATCTCTTAAAAAAGATTTCTTTCTTAAAATTTCAGTTTCTAAAATATTATTTTTCAATAATAATTATTTTTATAATAATGAAATTGAATATATTATTCTTAATTCAAATCATTTTAGTTGGCTATCTAAAAATATAAAAAATTCTTTAGCTAGTGAATTTTTTTTACTACGTTTTGATATTTGACAGTCATGTTAAATATCTGAGTTATTTGAGTTATATGTAAATAACCTTAACATTTAAACCTTCTAATTAGTTATAGATAATCGTCAGATATTAATTAAGAAACACTACATGAAAAAAGACTAACATTTTCTCGATTCTCGTAGTGATAATTTTATTTTTGCACTATTCTCATAGGTGTCATTGGAACCTAAAAATAGCCACAAAGTGAAATAATAACTCATATTTATGGCAAAGCACAAAGGTTGACACGATATAAACGATTCTTTGATTACGACGTGACTCTTATACTACGACTTGAACTCTTATTTGGTATGATTTTATCTTTTAACAAATATTTCTATTTTGAAATTTCAATTTCTAAAACTTTATATATATTATAATAATGATTATCTTTATAATGATGCAAGTGAAAGATATTATCCTTAATTATAAATTTATTTTAATCGGCTATCTAAAAATTTAAATGATTCTTTGGCCGGATTTATTTCAGTATGACTCCACTTTAAGTTTATCGATATCTCTATCCCCATAATTTAAATTTTTAATACCCTATATATACAAAAATTTTGTTCTTTGAATCACTAAATGTTAAATTAGTTGATTATTATTATTATAAAATATTGCATATATTGTCTTAAAATTGTCAAGTAGTTTATTTTTCGACACCATACTTGGCTTAACCTCAATGCAAACTACTCAAGTTGCATGCCAATTCAAATTCGAATATCATATCAGTTTGTTAGTAATAGTGATTTTTTAATAAGGACACATAATATAAATTAAAAAAAATATTCGAAGATATCCTTATCTTGTAATCTATGTATTTGAGTTGAAAAAAATATATTTGAAATCGATGAGATTAACTTTCAAATTTTTTATACTCAACAAAGATGAAGCATAAGAAAAAATTTGTTGTCATCTTTTATTTCTCGTTTTAGATCTTTCTAACATTTTTTTCAATATTTATTTCTTTTATCTTATTTTTTATGTCACTATTTCTGTTGTTAAAAAAAATTAATTTATTTCACTATAAATGGATGAGTTTTAATAAAAATTGTCTACATATGAACTTTAATTATATTTTTAGTCTTTGGTTGAAATTAATTTATATTTTTCTTTTGGCTTTATCTAATCAGCCTAATAGGTGCTCACCCGACCACTTAAATTAAAAAATTGAATGATGTATAATTTATACATAATCCATATATAATATGTGTATAATCATGTGTTGTTGGTATATCATCTATTTATATTAGCTATAAAAAGTGAATAAAAAATATGGCCGGATATTATGCAAATATTCCATAAGATTTCGATTTTTTGAGTTTATCCATGATATAACTTCTATTATAATAATTTTAAAACTCTCTACTAATGTTCAAAAATATCTTATCTTTTTATTATCTTTGAATTAAAAAAAGTAAAGAGATTTTTCGAAATAATTTGTTTACATTAATTTTTTTTTTTACGTCATACCAATTTTTTCTTTATACATACTCTTTGTTACACTTAAAAGTCGCTATAGAAACTATCAATTAGAAACCAGTTTATCTCCTTTTGAGTTTGAAAAAAAAACCTTTCACATAATCTAATGATTCAAACTAATATTCTTCAACAACAAAATACTATACCCTTGCAATATTGGCTTGACTACAGCCAAATGAAGGGGTTTTAGATTATACCCTTCAATTCCTTGAATGTGCTAAATTAAAATTAATGATAGCAATTATATAGTCAAAGTTTTGTTATTTGTTTGATGTCTATTTATGCAAATTGACTCTTCAAACAAATATTCTTCAAGAAGAAAAAAGAAACATTTTTTTTTTTATATTGACTGATTCTGTGAAGTTTCTTTCTCCAGCATGTATGTTTACTTTATTATATATGTAAGTAAACTTTTATTTGGTTTTGTAACTCTTTTTTGTTATTTAGATAAACATAGACATGTACCCTCCATATATATTACATTTATTTTAAAAGAATTTCGTTTTATTCAAATCTAGCTACAGTGTTTCAAAGAACTATACTTATAGGATTTTAAATGTGAAAGAGTTTTATAGTTATATGGAGTAGTTTTTTTTTTTTTTTTTTTTTTTTTGCTAGAGGCGAAGTAGTATTTAAATAATTATAAAAAATAACAAAAGTTCCTAATATGATTGCATATGATCATTAACCGAATTAAGTATGATAACATGATAAAAAAAGATAAATTTTATTTTTAATTTAAATTTGAATTTTAGAACTTTATCTATAAATTCAAATTTCTTTTATATATCTGTATGTGTATATATATATATATATTTATGTATATATATATTTATATTTCACTAAAATAGTCAAATATAGAATAAAGTTACCATATACTATTGACATTTATTAGCTTGCCACTTGGCTTAACCATAATGTCAATTATAAATGGTAACTNGTTTTATTTTTGAATAGTTTGATTTTTATACTTAAAAATGGAAATATTGATTTGATTTTAGTAATGTGTCGGCTTGCCTAGTACCACGATAGGCGCAATCACGACCGGGATGGTTTTGGGGTCGTGACATATATACATCAAAATTAAGAGAAATTTTTTAGTACAATAAGCAAAGAGAACTTCCAAGAAGATTTGCATTCCTAATGCGGCAATTTACTACTTCAAACAAAGAGAACAATAGGCAGTAAGACAAATATGAACATGATATAAATTATAGTAATTCAATATAATAGTTCAGTTTATATTTTATTATAACTCGTTTAAAATGATGTTAACTGGTAATAAAATAATAAATATTTGATAGAAGTCTATGGAGAGAGAGATATTTGTTTTGTCCCTTTTGCTATTATATGTCAACTCAGAGGCCGATGTAGTATTCTACCGATGGTTCAACTGAACTCATAATTTTCGACGCGGAGTAAAAATTTATATGTAAAACTTTATTATAATTGCAAAAATAGTAAATATGAACCCATAACTTTAAAAGTATAGTGGATTCAATGCTAAAAATCTTAAAATTTGACCCATATAATTTAATTCCTGAACACGCCTCTGTGTCAACCATGTTTCAATTCAAATTAAGTTGAGGAAATGGGCCCTCACGGACATTTACAACGTGTAATATACACATTCATTATTATGAGGATTCGTGACAATTTGACTAATTTATGATAAATGACTATATTTGTGATGGTTATTTTGTATAGTCGATTTCACCGGTAACCTGATATAATACACTTAATATTTATTTTACCATTGATTATATAAATTCATGTGGCATTGAGTATGAATACTTGATTGATCAAGCTTCAAGTTAAAAATATAACAATTACTCCGTATTTGGGGTTTAATTGATAGATAAAAAAGATTTTTGTTTCACGATGATTCTTGTCCAAACTCATAACCGACCGATACGAACTGCCTGATATGCTATCGACCTGGTGAGTGATAGCGTATTTAAATACTGATAACTGAATTAAGAATTACAAACACTGAAATGTATTATAACACCCTAGATTCAAGTTAAATAAAGTATATATTTATGTTAAAAAAAGAACAAATGCAAGTTTGTTTTAACTTTAAAATTTACCAAATCAAAATAATAAAGGGAATTGGGTTTAGGTAACATACAATAACCAAAAAAGGTTTGTTTTTCAACTCATGTTGTGCAAATTAACGCTTAAAAAAAGGATAAAAATTACAAATATGCAGCTTTTATATACCAACATTCTTCTACAAACCCGTCCCGTAACATTCGACCCTTTCCTAGCAAAATGTGAATATTATTGTTTGGCTTAATCGATGCAGCTTCTACTTTAGGGAATAATTATGTGAAAAGCCTAGGGAAAGTGATTGAAGACAAGCTCGTTGAGCATCAAAGGTTTAAGAGGTTCACTGAGTGGACAACAGAGGTGTTGTTAAAATAACAATTTAATCTTGGAACTAAAATTTTTGAAATTTTGCAACGTCGTCTTTTTTAATGACATATTTTTTCTCTCTTTTTGTGAAATTCGGAAATGCAACAAGCATGTTGATGTATGGAGTGAGGCACTCTCCTTCCATTGAGAAATTTGTAGTGAGAGCAAGAATTGCTTCCTCTGTTGGAGCAACCTAAGTTACTTGTTACATGTTAAATTGATTCAAAAAATGTCTCTTTGATTAAGGGCGGCTCCATCTTTTTTCATACTTATTGTTATAGTATATATTCTTAAATGACATAAAGTCTTTAACTCCGTCTAGTAATATTATCATTTATATTAGAAAAGGTTAATTTAAATAAATGAGATGTTAGACGTGTATTTACAGTAGGTTACCTTTGATATTGTTGTAAAAAATGTATTTAC